GTCTGGAGTGACAAGGCACTCACGGCTTCCATCTACAAGTCTGCAGGTACTGCATGTCAGTCATAGGGGCCGCATAAAGGGGGAGGTGGATGTCCCACAGGGAGGAGGAGGGGGTTTGGGGGGGGGGTGTTGGTTTTGTTTAATAATCGAAGGGTAAGGCCTGGGGAATAGCAGATATGTACGTTTCAGCTTCCTCCTCAGAAATTCGATCCTATTACTACCTAAACGCTCCCTTCAGCCCTTTTTTAGTTTCCCATCCCCTCAAAAAATTATACAAAAAGCTGTTCAAAAATTGTACAAACGGCATTTTGCATGTAAAAATTGTTGTGAAAATTTGTTTGGCTGTTTAATGCTGACACGTTTTAATGCAGTTTCGCAGTTTACAATATAAAAAATTTTCTTTAAAGACCTTCATTTATTGATATTCCGAAAATATCAAAAAGGGAGGAGGAATTGGAAAAAGAGCCCTCCCATCTTTGGCACAATTCAACCCATTTATTTTTTGTTCGAACATCTGAAACAGTTTTTCAAAAAAAAATCATATCATAATCATATGGGCGCCATATACAACACAGTAGAAAAACGAAAGCAAGCGTTTAAAAAATGAGAATTTTTCTAATGTGAAAATCATTCAAAAATTGGACTAAAAGAATTACTGATAAAGACTTTTGAAATTGCGAAGGTTTTTGTTTTTTAGCCCAGAGAGCAATGGAAGATGTGAATTGGGACAGCAAAGTGCCCCCTCCCCTTCCCCCGGCCGAGACAACAGTCGAGAAACACGCCGACCCCGTGAACGAAAAACTGCGACAGATCAAAGCAAACCGACGGGAGAAGCCGACAGAATGGCAGATGCTAGCAAAGGGGTGGGACTATAACCAGATGCGAAACCAGTACCTTCACCAGAAGAGACCATATAGCTACAGTTCCCTCCACAAGACCCACCAGATACCAGACTACAAAGGCCACTGCGGGGGGTTGGGGGAGCGAGACGACACCTATAGCGAGTTCCACCCGCTGAATGTTAAGCGGAACGACGTGCCACCCTATTACGGAACTGGGCGGACTGGAAACATTCCAGGTTACACTGGAAAAATCTGGTGGCTGGGTGTGTTGGCGGCGCATAATTACAAACCCGAGAATACAGACACGACTACACTGAGTACCCATGTTAGGTTGCCGCCGACGACGGCTCCCGAACATGCAAAACGGGAGAAACTTACCAAACTGATAACATCTGTGCCCCCTCACAATCCGTTTAGAAGGGTAGACTCAAATGGAGACCCCCTAGCGAAAGGGGCTAAAAGTGCCGGAGCAAGTCGACAGATATACGCTTTGTGAAAAATTACAAGACAAGAAAAATTTATTTTCTATTTTGCTCAAAGACTTTATAATAGCTGCATTGCTTGATATTATTACTTACTGTTTGTTTTTAAACGCTGTTATTGTCAAAACATTTTTGAAAGATTGAATTAATTTTTCAAATTTCTATAGTTTTGTGGGAAAACTTATTCGGCAATTTTAATGGAAATCGGGAGCCCTTAAAACTGAGAGTTCACTGAAAAGCATATTTGAGCAAATTTAATTCTCATTGTCAACTCATCCTAAATAATCCTTATTGACATTATCAGAAAGAAAGGCTACGGGAATATTGTCCAATATAGCAGACACCAGCGGAATAAAGTGCCGCCGACAACGGCTCCTGAACATGCAAAACGGGAGAAACTTACCAAACTGATAACATCTTGGGTTCCGTCAGCCAAAAATGGAGATTGGATCGGCAGTCGGTCGATTCCCTGAGGGAAGGTGGGGGAGGGGGGGCGACCCTTCCGCCTTCCCTCAGGGAATCGACCGACTGCCGATCCAAACTCCATTTTTGGCTGACGGAACCCAGTTTTTTTTAAAGGCGCTTTTTCTAAAACTTTATTCTAAAAGTGCCTAAAAATGATTTTTTGGCCTGCTTTTTCTAAAGAACAAAAAGCTCTCAAATTTTATTTTACCAGGTGTGTTTTTAAAAAAATTCATCATGCTCTAATTGCAAAAAATTGATTGAGTTTTGGCTGAAAACGCTGTAATTTGTGATTTTCATTTTTTTCAGCTCATTGTAGTTGCCACAAGAATTGTGACCGGATATTTTGGTTTTAAAAAAATCTTTTGACAGGTTGCTTTTTGAAAATATATGTCACGAAAAAACGGAAAAAATTATGCTCGGATGGATTTCAGTTAAAAAAGTTAAGAAGTATGACATCTGCAATAATTTTTGGTTAGGTTTTGGAAAACTAAATTGGTCAAAATGTATTGATTTGTGAGCGCTTTTGGTAGAAGTATTTTCAAACAAGACCTTAAAAGAAATTTAATTCATGAAATTGACTGTGGAGGACGGAGCAAATTTAAAAAAATTCCTTGGAAGCCAAAAAAAACAGAACAAATTTTAAACTGTGTACTCTCTTACAGTAATCAAAACTAAGTGTTTTTAAAACGATGTGACATTCGACCAGAATGGACCAAAATGCAGATTCGGCACATTCGAGTTTTTAACAGCGAACCTTCCGAATTGGCGATTTTGAAGGAATAAGAGCGTTATTGGAACGATTGGCCAAAGGGTGAAGGCTAGAATATTCCGGTGTTTCAAATTTTTAAAATTTCGAAGTATGACGTCATATTTCTGAGAAACGTCAGAAACGGCCATTTTGGCAGAAAACTGGAAGAAAAACACAAGAACATTAGTTGCGATAGCGAAAACAACGAAGATTTCGGTTAAAAAAACAACAACGAATTGCAAAAGTAGCAGAGACCGCTCCGAGTTGCAACTATTGTGTCGCTACAATAGTTGCAAGACCGTTGCGAACAACGGTGAAGGGTGGAAAACCAGCCTTCCGGAAGGAGAATAAGAGCCTTATTTCCCCGGATTCAGGAATCCGGAGGGGTCTCGGGACTGAAACTTTTATTAACTTATATAAACTTTTAGCTTCCCTATTATGTCCTGAGTTGAATTTATTTAATTCATTCTACTAAGATGAGAAGCTAGGAGTTGGGGGAAAGGGTTGATCCATCTTCGATGGAGATGATGATTTTTATCTACTGAACAAAAACAATAATAATTCAATAAATAGTAGTAGCCCTGATTTTAGGAGTGACCTCATGGTCTGGGGATACTGAGACCCAGCCATGAGCTCACTATTTCTGCATGTAATTAAGTTAATTTGAGTGTTTTGACCGAAGCCGAAAGCAGTAACGTTTTTTGGTCGACCCGATGTTAGAAAGACCACCGAAAGTACTGGCTTGGTAGAGACGGTTAAAAACATGTAAAGCTCTGTTTAGACGTTAGCCAGTCGTCTTAGGACTTAGTTTTATTTTCCGTTGATATGTATCTTCCGGGCGAATGTTACACGAGCGCACTTGATACTGTTTTTTTTGTAGAATTATGTTTTTGGCTAATTTCGAAGAAAAAAAGCAATATGTTTTTTTTTCACAAATTAAATCAAAGTTTTTGGTGGGCTTTTCTACCTTTCACCCTTATTTTCATAAGCATCAATTTTACAACGTAGCGTCAATTTTCAGATGTTGTGCCAATGATGAAATATATATTTTCGTAAGTAATTAGCCTACATGCTTGTTTTCATGACAACTGGTCAAAATGAACAAATTTACTATTAATTTTGCAACTAAATTAGTTTAATTAATTTCGCAAAAATTGCTAGTAGCACCGGTGATCCGATCACATTAAAAAAAATATCAAAAAAGACGTGTCGTTTTTTAGTGCGTGGTGTAATAAGTGAGAGAACCATACGAAAACATAAAACTTAACTTGACTGAATTAACGTGACTGAATTAGACAGAATTAGACTGAACGTGACTGAATTAGACATATTAGACTGAACGTGACTGAATTAGACTAACGTGACTGAATCAGACAGAATTAGACTGAACGTGACTGAATTAGACATATTAGACTGAACGTGACTGAATTAGACTAACGTGACTGAATTAGACATAATCCGCAACAGCTATGAGCTTTTTTACAAGAACTTTACTTAAATAAATTACGATTTTATTGAAAATTAGGGATTAGAATGTATCAAACGGTCTCAACGAATATAACTCTCGTCACTAGTGGCTGGCTTAAGAATTTTTAAAGAAAACGCGGGGTGTTTTCAATTGATTTTCTGAGCAGTATAGCGACCCTATTTTGCCAAACATTTCCGAGAAGCTGGTAAACTGTTGTGAAACAGTGCTTTTTCGGGATTAAGGCCTTTTTTGAAACTGAAAACAAACTGCTTTTTTGGTGCGTCGCTTGCTCTTAAACTTAGAATGCTGGCAATGAAAAAGTTTTAGAAACCTTTTAAAGTTGAATTATTATATTGAAATGTTTGTAACTGAAGATGTCTTAGCACATTAACAATTCACATCCCGGTTTAAAAAAAAACTCGAGATCAAAGTTTATCGGACTCAGTAAATTTCTTAAAAATCAACCAAATGACATGCAAAAAATTGAATTCAAGTAGTTTTTGCCACCATTTTATTAGCGAAAAATTTATTATTGAATTTAAGAAAAAACTACAACACAACAGCAAGTAGTTGGCCATTTCTCAAACTTTTGTCAAAAAATGCAAATTTTTATTCTTCTCAGATGTGAAAATTTTTAATTAGGCTAAACTGTTCTGGTCGATGGAAGATACGAAAAATCTACACTTTCATTTAGGCGAAACCAGATTGTAATTTCAACTGAACTTAATTGTTGTTTTGTGGTATTTTCTTCAGAAATAATAACAGGTTTCAGCTTACACAGCTAGTTGAGGTCATCAATGATCTGTACAGGGGCGGATCTAGGATTTTCTCGAGGGGTAAGGGGGCGGATTTTCAAAAAAAAAAGATTTTCGTAGCTCTCCGAAATCAGTATCAAGACGGCATTTTGACAAAATGTTCTGCGCCGCAGGCAAGTTTTTGAAAAAAAACAGCCCAAAAAAGGCGTTTTTAGGGTCTTTTCGGAAAATTTTGACCAAAATTTTTTTTCTTTTTTTGGCGCGCGCTCCCCCCTCAAAACTTGTATATTTTGGCGCCAAATGCGCCTTTAAAAAATTTCAGGGTCGGTCACCGAAAATGGATTTTTCAAAACCGTACAAAGGGGGACCCTTTGGGTCGGCAGGGGGTCGAATACCTGAGGGGAGGGAGCCCCCTAAATCTGCCCCTGGATCTGTATTTAAAAACTTCATTCTTTAACTTCGGTCCTAAAACGATTTATTAGAATCTGAAATAGGACTCATGGCCGATTTTAAGCAGTCTAACAGAATTATTTTATTTGAACTCTTATTACAATCAAAATATCCGTAAAATCAGTATTCTGCAAGATTTTTTGGAGACCTTTGGTAGAGGTTTTGTTCAGCTAATTAGTCAGCTCTGGGTGTTATTCCAAAGTTTTTCCCTGGTCGACGTCTCGATTTAGGCTTTGACTTTCTCGACCAAAAGATGATGTTTCGAATGTCTGGACTAAATTTTTTGCTAACTTTCTTGGCCAACTTTTGATATGTTTCGATTTTCTCGTCGAAAGTTTTATATTTTTCAATTTTCTCGACTGCCACGACCGACATTTCTGAAACTTTTGTTCGATTTTGCACGATTTATTGAATATGTTAACAATTTTTGATCAAAGTAATTAGGCGTTTTTATGTAGAGCATGTACAATTGCCTCATCACTGCTGCGTAAAAATGATTGCATTAAACAACCATAATTGTAACACGCTGGTGAACCAAAATCGCCGAGAAAAAAAATAGGTCGCGTTCTATTCTACAGAAAAGAAAGAGACAACCCAGCTCCTGCGCTCTCAAAAAAATTTGACTAATGCATTGAGAAAAAGTACTAAAAGTCAATTTAGTACAATTCATTTTAGGTGCAAAAAGTCACACTACGTTTTTTCAGGCCAAAAATCAACACGAAAGTCAAATGAAAAGTATACATGATAACTTTATTTTAGGTGTCCTCTGTTCTTTGAAAACAGAGAAAATCTGAAATTAATTTGCATACAATCTGTTCAAAATGAGTGAATAATAAAGTGTAGAAAAACTGATTCAGATCAATTGAAAGCAATTTGTTTGTTACTCAAAATCCGTATGAAATGAAAACAAAAAAAAAACGTGATGAAAATGGATTTAGGTTGATTTAGTTTTGATTGCAAATGATTTTTAAGCTTCATTGTTGTATCCAACTGAATCGATTTCAATGCAAATCAACTTATTAGGTCTTTTCTACATTATCTGTTAAAAATCGATCGCAAACCGTACCCTATCATTACGGGTGCATCTTTTTAAATTTTGAATTTCAATTTTTGTTTGAACTTTCGAAGAAAATGAGGGAAAAAAATGCGTAGCGATCCGTGAGTGAGTATGGGTATCGATCTGTGAGTGAGTATGCTTGCCATTAGCCTAAATGTGCTTAGGAGTTCGCGTTTATAGTTTATGTTTTAAACGCGCGAGTTAATAAGGCGAACATCCCG